GCTGGTTTGTGTTGGTGCCTATCATTTGTAATTAAACTAGCTCTCATGCAGAAATGGGAGAGAGTGTGCAAACAACAGACTTCAGAACATGGAACTGTCAGAACTGAAGTGAAATGGAGTCAGTGGGGACCTGATGATCCATGGTTAGGAAGTTGAAAATCCTTGTTATCTTGTATCAAGTCAGCTGGTTAAGTGATTTATTTTATCTTGAGATTTGGGTCAAGTATCCATCCTAGATATTTCAGCAACAACACTGGGAAGATGTCTGGATGTTGGAGTATGCTGGCCTCTTCTCAAGATTTTCAATAAGATTCTGTAGTTCAGCTTTCTTCCATACTGGCAGAACCAGTATTGTATACAGCTTTGTTTAGAGTTGCCTTTTCTGCCCGTGGCTAGCAAGCTAGACTGGCAAGGGTCTGATAATCATGTGTCTCATAGATGATAAAAGCCAGACCCCCTTCTTGCAGCTAAAGTGAGTGAGAACAAAAGCACAGAGGTAGGACGTTCAACTGAAATACTGGTGCTTATAAGGCCTGGGAAGTTCCAGAGTAAAAGACTGATCCTCCAAGCTATACCTGAATGCTTCTTTTTTCTCCCAAATTAAATAGTATTTCTCTCACTCAGCATTCAGACCATGCCAAGGGTTTCGGTGCCTGGGAACTTGGCTGTGAATCCTGTGGGTCATAAAGCTCATACTCGTTCTTGGACTCCCAGGCCGCCTTCTTTCTCTATCTTAGCTGGCACCCCACCTATATGCCGAGTATCCCCTCCACTTCCACATGCATGGTAGAAATGCCACATGGCAGGCCATGGGATCTGACTTCCCAAGCAGACACCCAAGAAGGCAGTGATGCAACTTGGAGGTGCAATGGAGCTAGCATTCTGTGGGGTACATGTTGGCCAATGGAAAACAGGAGACAAGAGCGGGGTGGATTGATAAATTCCTTCTCAATTCTCTTCTTGGTGAACTGCTCCAAGGTACAGTTTCTCCTTGCAGATGCCTTGTGCTTAGCAAACAACCCTGGCAGATGATCTTTTTTCTCTTCCTGGTTCATGTAAAGCAGTGGCCAGCACAGTAGTTCATTTTCTTACATTCTTTCCCATCTTTCCTGGCCTCACATTTCCTTCTCCCCATTCACCATCCTGGGCTTCCATCTCCCCCAAAAAGTATGAGCACTTTAATCCTTGCTCTAAAGTCCTATTTCTAGAGTGCTTCAGTTAAGACACAGGGCTACCATCAAAGCCCAACATTGGTCTCAATAGTAATGAGAAGGACACAACTGATTTATCCTGCTTAAAAACAGGGACTGTTATTAACCAGTCACCCCAGTAAATTTATTTTTTTTAAAGGAAAAAACAGGGAACCTAGTTCAGACTGCTAGCTTCCTACAAGGGACCTGGTGCCAAGGTCGCTGGGTCAGGCCATTTCTGGCCTGCTCTCTAGGAGAAAATGAAACTCATTTCAAAGGCTTTCTTCACTATTTCCTGAATTTTCTCCTGGGAACCTAAGACTTTTCGTCAGAAAAATCAGACCTAGACTTTCAGCCTGCTCTGCCTTCTGGGTCTCTGTGCTCTTAGGCAACTAGAAGGTAGGTGGCCAGGGTCTGGAATTTCAAAGTCCCCTCTACAGATGACCAGTCAGAGGCTCTGATCAGCCCAGTCTGCTAGAGGCTGGAGAACATTGTGAGAGTGATGTCTGAAGCCAGGGCTGGGGAGAAAAGGAGTGGTGCTTGGCACAGATTTAGTCACCTCTTTGCAGGCTGCATGTGGCTCAGGCTGGAAGGATAGCCAAATAGCCTCCATCGGCTCTGAGCTCCCTGAGCCCAAGAGGTTTCTTTCTTTGTTGGCTCTTCCAAAGAACACAGGGCTGTGTAACATAACTGTGCAAATATACCGGCTGTGAAGGGAGGCCCAGAGGCCCAAAATAGCCTGAGCACCTTCTGAATTTGCTCTTGTCACCATGCAGGCAGGTGCAATCAGGAAAGTGGTTGCCAAAAGATTATATCAAATCTGCAAAGGATCAAGAGAAATCCTGTGATCTTCCCATCCTTAGCATACTCTTTTCTAGAGTATTGCATGCATGCTCTATTCCACAGAGGTAGAGGTCAGTCTCCAGGTCTGATCAGAGCACACAGCAAATCCAGAGCTGCTTCTGAAGTAATTAGTAACTAAGAGGTAATTAGTCCTATCTCAGACCAAAGGTCTTTTCTCACTACATTTGAGACTCCCAGAGAGAGAAGTTATAAGGACCCTGCTAAAGGCTGAATACTCTGTTCAAGGTCTTTAGGTTATACAAGTTCTCAGAAGGTTCCTAAATTGGGTGTCCACTGACAGACTCCCCTCAGGAGTGTTTTGGTGATACAGCCTCAGTGTAATAATGGACCATGGCCAGAGGGTGAGGAGTGGAGCAGCCTGCAGGTCGGCCAGAGTGAATGCTTGTGTGGCTGCCCCAATCCTGTCCTAAGCATGTACTTGGGGCTGAGGCTTAGCAGTCAGGTCAACTCAGGGATACCTGACTATCTGGTCAGGGCCACTAGAGCATGAACTAGCCAAGTGTGAATAGGTAACCTTTCTCTGGGGGCATTGAGCAGACAGGCCATTATGGAAGCCATGAAGTTAAGGGGGAAGGAAATGGACAAAGTGTGACCTGTTTCTAAGAGACAGAAATCCCAAGGGCCAGATCCAGACTCAAGGACAGAGTCAGCAAGATTCTTGATGATGGTTCTTAGCTCGAAGAGAGCCCAAGAATCAAATCGATCAGTTTGAAAAGAATTGTATCACCAGAAAATTCTCATGCCTGGCAAATAGGGATCTGGAAATGTGTAATCTCTAAAGCAATCTTTGGGCCCAAAATCATGTCAGGAAGAGGGAGACTTCGATTCCAGAAGAGGCATTCCCCTTTGGGATGTCCATAAAAGACAATAGATAAAGAATCAAGTGAAAGGACCAAGAACAATCTGTTTTGTTGAACAAGAAAGTTGCTCCACTGTCTAGGATGTGCTGTGTGCTACAGATTAGTGACCATTGTTTTCTCTTCTCCCCTATTCCAAATGGAAGGTTTCTCTTTTTTAAAACTTGTTATCCTATTTTCTGTCACTGTTTCATATTGGTTATGTAGGGGTAGCTAAATGTATCTTTTGGCCACAAATGGCAAAATCATAAGAAGTTATACCCAGACCTGAATAAGAATTACACAGCACAATGGGATGCCAGCGTCCCATTTGAAGGTTCAGTAAAGCAATTGGACAAGATTCTGTTTTGTCATCCATTGGAAAGTGTTTTATTTTATTTTATTTTATTTTTAGAGGGGGAGGGAGGAAGAGAGGGAGAGAATATCGATATGAGATCAATATGAGAGAGAAGCATCGATTAGTTGCCTTCTGTATGTGCCCTGACCAGGGACCAAACCTGCAACAACCCAGGCATGTGCCCTGACTGGGAATTGAACTGGCAACCTCATGGTTTGTAGGACAATGCCCAACAGAGCCACATGGGCCGGCACAGTGGGTGTGTTTTTGTTGTTGTTGGGCCTAGGATCATTGTATTGTTAGGCAGACACACTTGAAATTGATGTTTGCCAAGAAAAGTATAGGTGGATGCTGAGCAATAAAGGGGTGGAATACTAAATGCATATTGCTTTTCTGCCTATCATCTTTTCCTTTGGGGACCCATTTCTCCCCTCCATGCAGTCCTGGTGAAGTTGTCAATTATGGTGGTTATCCTTCTACCCTAGAGGTAAGCACATGTCCATTCTGGCCAAAGTTCTTCCTAGGACTTTATAGCTGAAACTAGTGAGGCCAAGCCAAGAGATGGAACATCATCATTTGAACCCCTAGGTCCAGCCATGCCAGAAAGCAGATACATCCTTTGATTTACCATTTATGTACATCAATTAATTTCCTATTGGCTTAAATGTGTTTGAGTTGGGTTTTCGACACTTGCAGCTGGAAGGGTTCAGACTAATAGATACACACACAACAGAGACAGAAACACCGTGTTGTTCAAACTCATTAGACCATATATAATCTTCCGTGATCTTATGGGGGCCAGCAAACTTTTTACCTGAAGGGTCAGATAAATATTTTAGGGTTTGTGGGCCACATATGGTCTCTGTCTCATATTCTTTTTTATTTTTACAATTTTTTAAAAAGGCAAAAACCATTGTTAGTTTGTAGATCATACAAAACCAGGCTGCAGGCCACATCTGCCCGCAGGCCCTACAGTTTGCTGACCCTTGATTCAGACGCTGCCAGCCCCTGCAGCATTGGCACACAATTTGCTGCTCCTGAACTAGGAAGCAAAATACTTTTAAATGCCATTTTGTTTCAAGTGTCTTGATGTGACTTGGTAATGAGTTCAGGTAGAGTTAGGAATGGGAACAGGGTCTTGGTGCCCACTGCCTATCACATAATGGGCACTGAATTAAATGTAATCATTAGTATTTCTTGGTAAAGGTAATTTATCAAAACGATATAACGGTCCAAATATCTTTGCCCAGATGTCCCAGTTCATCCTCAAAGACCCCTCTTCCCCTCCTTTCATCTCCTTCGGGAAAACTTTTTCTAATCTCCAATCACGTCTGAACTATGTATTCTTCTTGTTGCTATCACAGACCCTGTGTGGCCTTCCATTATAACTACACTACGGGTCTGTCTTCCCTTCTAACTTTGAGTACTTAGAATGTGCCTGAGCTCCAGCTCCTAGCACAGTGCTCAACTCCTAGTATTGATGGGGCCTCTATACTTCTAGGTGAAATCTGTTTGAATGTGCAGGTGCTACCTATCTCCAGCAGTGTCCAGGATGGCCAGTCTATGTGTCAGCCTTGTGCTGATGTACAGATGTCCTCAATACTGGTTCTTCTCTCAGTTGGAAATTTTTAGTTGATATACACCACATCTTACCTGGCAATGTTATTAGCGGGCCTATTTTTCATCCCATTCCCTCCAAAAACGAGTCAAAGACAGAGGAACAGGTAGAACACATTTTCTTAGAAACTGTTATGAAGGAAGGAACCCTCTGACCCCACCCCACATCCTTTACTGTCTGATGTGCTATAAGATTAGAGACCTCCAGCCTTAGCAACATCTGGCAATCAGAGTGCCCACCACACAGCTGCGTCACAGACCAGTTTGATCCATGTCTATTGGGTGGAGAGGAAATTATCCTCCTGACAAAAATATGCACAAGGCCGTGCAGGCCCAGGAAAGGCTGACAAAGGCAAGGTGAGTCATGGTGTTCTAAGCTGAGATCTTTTGCCCATCTCACAGAAGCAGACAGGAAACACCGCCATTGATCAGCTTTATATGGCACCCACTGTATACAACAGACAGACAAAGACAGACAGACAGAGCACACACCACTTCTAAGTTGAACACTGCTCACCATCTAGAAGCACCTTGGATAAGCACGTGAAACACTCTTTGCATAGGAAAGATGTACTTTTTAAAGGAATGAAGAAGTATTTTGGCAAAACAGCTACTTCTCTCTCAGGTCCTGGGTAAAGAGGGACCTCTAAATTCTGAAGCTTCTACATATTGAAAATTATCCCCTTCTCAATGGCAGTATATACAGTAGTAAACCTTCCGAGTCTGTTGTCACAGCCCTCCATATGTATCCTGAATCTACTTTATAGGTGGGCAAACTTAGACTTAGAGACAGAAGGTGGCCCAGAGCAAGGGGACACTGGGGCTGGCTCAAGGTGAGGGGAAGCAGGAGGTATCTCGGCTCAGCCAAAGGCAGGGCCTCTGTCTATCTGGAGGGGGGAGGGAAAAGCCAAAACTCCCTTTTCCTTCCTGTCTGAGGAAGCAGCTGTCAGGAAAGAAAGGCAGGTTCCCCGCTCTTGCTGCCTCAGAGGCCCCTCCGGGTGGCAAAGGCCGGGCAGGCTAGAGCTCCTCCTGAGGCCTCTTCAGTGGTGCCCTGTGCATTTGGGCATTGTGGGCTCACTGCTTCCGTAAGTCTCATTACCTGCACCTGAGCCTAGACCTCAAGTCCTTAATTATTTTAAAAAGGCAGGGCGGGGAGATGGTTTAATAGAATATGAGACACAGAACAATCTTCCCACAGCCTCCCTTTGACTAGGCTGGGGCTTTTAAAGGTCTCCTTCACCCTGTCTCCTGGGGATATTTAAAGGCAGCTTTTGTAAGACTCTATACTGTCTTTTGTGTTTCTCTTGTGTGGTTTTGTCTGTTTAGTTTCTTCTCTGTGAATATATATACACACACATATATAGATATATATATGTATATATCTATATATATATATATATTCTTAAAAAAGCAATAGTCCTTTGGTCCCTAAATTCTAAGGAATGATAAGATTTTGAAAGAAGAAAATCTGGGCTTCCCTTATGGAGAAGCCCTTGGCACCCCCAAGGCCCTCTGCTGGTTCCCCTTGTCGGTCCATCTTCAGCCAGCCCCAGCTGCCCTGCCAGCCTGAGCTCTATGCCACAGGCATAGAGCAACCCACTTGATGAAGACAATCCTTAAAAGTGGCCTGAGCCCGAGGCGCTGGCCTTGGGTCCAATCCACTTCTGTCTGCGGCTGCTCCTTCAAGAAGGGCTGCTTAAGTGCTTCTGTGCTTTTCCTCTCTTTTCTTCTCACTCTTCGGTATCTGTTGTTGGTATTAATTGATAAGGGGGGGGAGGCAAAAATCAGTCTGGAGGGTGAGATAAGAGCAGCTTGCCCCATCAGCTACATCTTAGGTAAGTACCTGGGCTTCTCTTCTAGAGGAGTGGAGCTGCAGCAGAGCCAAGGCTGCAGCCTGATCCACTGAAGCCAGACCCTGGGTCCTGGCAGATGACCCCAGCCTAGCACCCACCCCAAAGGACTCCCTGGGGTAGCTCAAGTGAGGCAGGGCCATGGGGACCTTCTGAGATAGTCAGTCTCTAAAAGTCACAGGCAGTTGGCCCTGCCAAAAACCTAACAGAGCCTGTCATCTCCCTCTCCATCACCCACCAGGCCCTGCAGGTCCTGCTCCCTCAGCGTACTCGCTTCTCTCCTCATCTCTATGTTAACTGCCATTTCCCCATCCCTTACATTATGTTCCTTCTTTGCCTAAACTCCTCATGGTTCTCTACCATCTTCTCCACCAGTATAAAGTCCAACTCGGCCTTCAAGGCCCTTCACAGGCTGGCCCAAACCTACTTTCCTAGTCTTATTCTCCACCCCCCTGCCCTGTCCCAACATGAACTCTCTACTCCCGTGCCCCTCTCTGGCTATCTCTGGAGCAGAAGTAACTGGTTGATCTTGCTGTTAATTGTCTCTCTCAGACTATGGGAACAGGAATGTTGTCTAATTTATCTCAGTCATTGGATTGAAGGAAAAACACAAAGTCTCCAACTAAGGATTCCTCCTAACTGCTGGCTCTTCTCTCCCAGACTTTTTCAGAGATGGGTACCCCAACATCCCAAAGAGAACATCAAAGCTGAGAGGGTTTCCATCACTCAGGCCCCATCTGCCAAGGGTCCACCAGGACTCACCTTTCTGTGGCTGGTCAGTGAGAGCAGATTAGTAAGGCCTGTTGGCATCCTTGGGCCTCTTTAGCTGGACCTTGAGCCTCTTCATGCCAATTTGAAAGCCATTCATGGCTTGAATAGCTGTCTGGGCACTGGTTGGATTGTCAAAGCTAACAAACCCTGGGGATGTGGGCACAGGGGTTAGCTGGGAACTGCCTCCTTTGTCTCTGGCCAGCCCCATCTTCTCTCTGCCCTCGGAACAGTTCCATCAAACATATACCTCACTGTTTGCACATATATGTACACATACTTATACTTACATGGGCAAACGGCCTGAATTTCATGCAAATGTGATTCTTGGAAGGACAGGAAGCAATTCCCTTAGTTAGGGTGTTTCCCTGTCTTTTCCTAGCATGGGTGGACTCTCTCCCTCCACAGCTCCCACTCTGGTCCTCTGAACTGCAGTTGGAGTTAGAAGGGATCCCTGGGTCCCAGACCCAGACACCTCCTGTCCTGGCTAGACCCTAAAGCCTGAACTTATCAAACATCTTTCAGATACCTGACCTTCCCAGATAAACCTGAACTAGACTTGTTCCTGGTCTGGGCTTAGCCTCATCACTGGTCTGTGACCCTGCTTTGTACAATAGGCTCAGCCTTTGGGAATCATTGACTTATGTGGGAACAATCTTAGACTCTGTGAGAAATCTCATAGTTGCGAGTGGGAGAGGCCCAGGGATGGGGCTCAGCTTACCAAAACACTTGCTCTGGTTGGTGGCTCGATCCACAAAAACTTTGGCAGAGACGACAGCCCCAAAGGGCAGAAATGTCTGTATGAGTTCTGCATCACCAAACTCCTGAGGCAGGTGATAGATGAAGAGGTTACAGCCTTCCGGGCCTGCAGGAACAGTAGTAGGTTGGTCCAGGGGAGGGACTCTGAGTCCAGTCCCACCGGGCTCTGATACCCAGCCCCATCCCTCACCTTCTCTTTGCTGCTGGGGCAGGGCTGAAGGCTGCTGGGGAAAAGCTGTGCTCATTGGGGCGTAGGCCGATGGATAGGCTGCTGGAGACAGAGGTGGGAGTGGGCAGTGAACTCCAGGAGCCATCTCCCAAGCACGGCACCATTTACCTGGCCACCTTTGACCAATTCAGCCCAGTCCACACTAACCCTTACCCTTAGACAGGTCGTTCAGGGGTCAGGTTTGAGAGGGTAGACTCCTCAAAAGAGAGCATGCCCCACATTTCCCTACTCCTTTCTGGGACCCTTCAAACCGCCCCCTCCACCCAGGCTGCGTGGAGCCCAGTGAAACCTGCGTAGTGGTGCATCCCAGCGTAGGCCTGCTGCAGGGGGTCAGACACGCCGGGGCTCTGGGCTGGGGAGAGACGTGCAAAGCCACAGTGAAGGCAGGCTGGCGGGCAGGGTTGAGTGAAAAGCAGCAGGGAAGGAGAGAAATCCCTTCTTAGGGAGTCCACCCCGCCCTCCTCCCCGCTCCCTCTCCATTTCGGGGAGATTTTGGTGGAGTTGGGGGACCCACCTGGGTAAGCGGAGAGCCCGTTATTGTAGAGAGTGTCAGAGACTGGCTGCCCGTTGGTCTGGGGGGTCAGGGGGCTGAATCCATTGACTCCGATGGGCCCTGGGAGACCTGGGAGTGTGTTGGGGCCGCTGCCTGGAGGGGAGTTGGCTGCAGATGGCGGAGGAGGTCGCAGAGTCAGGCCACCGCCACCCACATGCCCCTCCCCACAGGGGCCCTGCCCCCGGTTCTCAGTACCTGCTGCTGGTAGCAGCGGCGTGGCAACCAGGCTGAAGGCCGCCACGTGCTGCATCTGTGCGGCCACCGCGGCCACCTGGCCTAGACCCGGGCCCTGTGCTGCCGCCAGCAGGGCCGCCTGGTGCTGCAAGATCTTTGGGAGGGAAGAAAGAAGGATGTGGATGGCCCAGCGGCGAACCGCTGCCCCAGCTTCCGACCTCGCGCCTCGCCCCACCCACCAGTCCGCCAAAGGCTCCCCCCACACCTACCGCTGTGGTGTATGCACCACAGGCCCCGAGCGGCAACGGCGCGGGGTGGAAGGCGCCCAGCTGGCCTGCCATCTGCTGCATCCGACGCAGCGCGCGCTCTCGGTCCGTGTCCGCCAGCTTGACTACGAGGCTGGATGAGGCGCCCTGGGTAGGGCAGGGGAGGCCGCGGTGGCCGGTCCAGACCCCAGCCTTGGCCTTGGGCCGAGTGCCTCGCGCATCAGGCCCTTTCCTGGGGCACTGATCGCCTGTGGAGAGGAGGAGCCCGTCCCCACCCCACCGGCCTCACCCTAGGCCCGAGCCCGCCCTCACCGCCATGGTCCGGCTGCCGTGCAGACTCTGGATGGCCGCCTGAGCTTCCCCCTGACTCCCAAATTTTACAAAGGCACAGCCTGGAGCAAGATAGAGGGATCGGGTCAACGGAGGGGGTGGGTGGGGGGGGAGTCTTGTGGCCCAGAGTAAGGCGGGATCACAAGGAAATCCCAAGATCAGCTTAAGTCACCTTTACTGGTACCATCCGGGCTCCGCAAGACGGTGCACTCTTCAATATGGCCAAAAGGCTGGAACAGGCGTCTGACGTCTTCCTCACCCTGCTGCTTCCCCAGCATCCCCACAAACAGCTTTCGGTCCTCTGGGGACAAATCCAGGAGTGACTTAGGGACCTTAAGTCCTCTCGGACTCCCCAGAGTAGCCAGAGGAACTTAAGAAGGTAGCTCACCACAGTCTAGCTCTGAAGAGCTGTAGGGAGTGAGAAGGTTCTGGGCTACAAGGAGGGGTTTCTTTGTGGGGCAGGATGACCTACAGACAGATCTGGAGGAAAGGAATTCAACCCAGATTTCCATCAGGAAAGCCCGGGTCCTGGGGAAACCGAGGAAGTCTCACTGCTGCTCCTGTGAAAATTGATTTAGTTCATATCTTCGGTTAGATAGAGCCCTGTACTCATATTTTGTATGTTTGATCTTTTTGTCCTTGAAGTTTGAGAAAGGCTGCCTATTTTGGACTATTTCAGCCCTATTAAGTGAAAAGGGCCTCAGAGGAGGCCTTTGGGTCTGGGGAAGAGAAGTACGCCTGTGTGGGTTAGCCTGATGGCCGTGGATAGAATCAATGTCCCTTCCTGCTCAAAATCACAGAGGGTTCTGGATCAAAAAGCAGCACCAGAAGCAATAGTCTCATCATACACCTTCATCCCCAGACTCTGAAATGAGGACTCCCCAACCCCAGCATCAAACTCAACTTGGGTGTCCCAAAAGACCTAAAGAGAGGGGATAGCTTGGGTTCTTGAGTCTCCAGCATTAGCATCTTCCCCACTACACTTGCTGAACTCCTGACCCCATTCCTTACCTCCCACCTCTACCACCTCCTTCCCTCACTGTGCTGCCAGGGCCCTCACTAAGCCTGCTGCCTCCTTTCTGACTCCCCCTGTTCTCCTACCATGATCCCTCTCTAGGGAGAACAAGTTCTGCCTGAACACCTGGATGGCTAACTGAGAACAACTCTGATTCCTCCCTGCTGGACTCCTCTGGGAGTGGCAAAAATGCCAGGAAAGGAACTGTAAGCTGGGCCTGTGTCCCCTGGAGAAAGCTGGAGAGCTGGGGCTGGAGACCAGGGCTTAGCTTCACATCCAGCAAGCCAGGCCTCAGGACTGCTATTTAGGAGCCTGTAGGAGAGGGGTTTAGTCCACAGGGCCTTCTGTCAGAGCCCTGCTCCTTTCTACATCAAGGTAAGTCTCTGAATTCAGTATGGGGCTTTCTCCAGGTGATACAAGCTGAGAGAGAAGAAGTGGGTGAGAATCTGGCTTCAGGCTCCACCTTCAAGGTCCTGGAGCTCAAGAAAACCCATCCCGAACTCCTTTACTCCTTGACAAGCTTGGCTAGGCTAATGGGTGTCCTTGGATCCTGCGTGCAAGGGAGGAAGGCTGGTGAGGATCAAAAAGAAGAATGCACTGCCCAAAGTTAGCAGTGGAGGGAATCTCCAACTAGGCTATGGTGTGGGGTCCAGCCTTGGCTTCCCTGGGTACCCTGAGATGTCTGTCTGTCTCTCTGTCAATGCTGTGTCTGTGTGAAAGACAGGGGCTATGGTTTATGTGGGACAGGGATAGTGTGTTTCAGCAGAATCTGTCCAGCTGATTACTGCCCAGTGACCCTGAAAGAAAAGAGATGTATAATGTACTTGTGTCCAGAATGCTAGAGGAGGTGCTGACCTTCTGTGGTGAGAATACAATCTGGTAGGTGTGCTTCTGCGAGTGTTAGCCACAAAACAGTGCCACTGGAACATATCACTGGCTCCCTACTTTTTTTAAAAAAAGCCATGGAATCCATTTTTCTAACAAAAATATTAGGATGAAGTTCAAAATATAAGAGAAAAGCAAAACCTGCTCTGACTGAAGGCAGAAAAATATGTGTGTGTGCATACACGCTGGAGTTGTTCTCACTTCATCCTCCCCTGGTAACCTCTGGAGGCTCTCTAAGGAAAGTTCTTTGAAAACCTCTGACCTAAAAGAGAAAGAATAGAGTTCCAGAGGGTGTATGAAGAGGGACCTCTGATCTATTCAGGAACCTAAGAAAATAGGAAAGGTCCTTTGTATCTCTTGACCAATATAATGCTTCTGGCTTTGCCTTGACATTGGAGGACAGGTCTCATTTGGTCAGGGAATGAAACTCCAGAAGACTGTGCCACTGTTCTGAGCTGGGACACTTAAGTATGTTCATGTGGCTGCCAAAGGCCCAAAGGAACTGGAGAAAATCCTAGGGCCTCCAGAGTCCTAAGATTAAAGGGGCTTAATGATGCCCTAATTTATACTGCACCTGTGTCATTGGGAAGGGTCCACAAGATGGTAATGGTACCTAGGTAAGATGTCATGCCACATGGAACAGCATTCCAGTAGCCATAGGTAGGAAAAGAGATGTCAAGGCTAAGGTAGAGCCCCCAGGATGGGAGAAAAGGGTTATGTAGACAGTAGTCTGATCCTTCATCTGCTCTTCTTCTTGTTGATCTTTTCTGAGGATGGTTGTTAGTTCAAGGTGATGTCATAGGTCATGAAATTCTATGATCCTTCTTTTCCAGCGAGAGTCTCCCAAGTTACAGATTTTCATTTTCTTTTTTTAAAAAGATTTTATTTATTTATTTTTAGAGAGATGGGAAGGGAGAGAAACATCAATGGGCCTCTCACATGCCCCAACCAGAGACCCAGCCCACAACCCAGGCATGTGTCCCAACCAGGAATCAAACCAGTGCACCTTTTAGTTTGTGAGACAATGCCCAACCCACTGAGCCACACCAGTCAGGGTTAAATTTTCACTTTCATTACAACACATGGACACTATGGTTCTGGGCTACTGGCTGCATGGAATTTGAAATTAAAATGAGGCTAGGCTCTGTGCTGCCTGTTTTCCAGGTATCACCTTGAATCCTGGTATCCTCTTTGCCATTTTTTTAGGGACCCTAACGGTATTTGATAGGAGGATGATCTAGGTCACAGTGCCTTAGGTGATTCTGAAATGGTGGGATACATGTCTTAAGAGAACTGGTGAAAGAGAAATACAGTCCAGACCTCTGAAAATAGCCCCCAAATCCACAATCCTCAATGTCCCCAGAGAGACATGATGATGTGATTTAGCCCAGATAATTCAATTTTCTCCAGGTCCTACTGTACCAGTATGGTAAAAAAGAGGAGTATGTAAGAGATAGGTCAGAAATGTTTGAATAAAAATATTCCGTGGGTGGTGGGTGGGTCCCTAGAAAGATGGGAATATCAAACAGCGAGGCTCAACCTTCCTGAAGTGGGAGGAATTGAAAGATAGCATCAGTGTGGAATTGAGACGTAGTTGGGAAGACACACGATTGAATGGCATAACTGCATTTTCCTGTTGGCAACCAATGTATACTCCTTGCTCTTCTACCAAATGCTTTTTGAACCCAAACCAAGTTGTTTGGGCCCAAGAAGCCCATCTCCATGAAGCTGCCTTGTGTAGCTGGTCAAGGATTCTAATACAGCAAATGATGGTGTTGAGACCCCAGAGTCAGTCCACTCCATCTTCTTCAGATGTTATGCAAGAAAAAAGGTCCTGCCTCAAGTTGGCCCAGAGGAATTCCTGAGTGCTGGCTGCTAGGTCCCTCGCACCCACTCATCTCCATGTTGGTGGATCAAAGACCTAAACATAAGCACCAAAACTATAAAACCCTTAGAAGTAAACATAGTGGAAAAGCTTCAAGACCTTTCATTTGGCAACGGTTTCTTGGGTATGGCACCAAAAGCATAGGCAATGAAAGTAAAAATAAATCAGTTGGACAACATCAAAATTTAAAAAAAATTGTGCATCAAAGGACAAAATTAGAGTGGAAAGGCAATCTACAAAATAGGAGAAAATATTTGCAACTCATATATTTGATAAGGGTTTTACATTCAGAATATACAGAAAGCTCCTACAACTCAGTGACAACAATAAACCAAATAATCTGATTTTAAAATGAACAAAAGACTTAAATAGACATTTCTGCAAAGAAGATATACAAATGGCCAAGAAACATATAAAAAGATGCTCAACAACACTAATTATTAAGGAAATGCAAATCAAAACCATAATGACCTAGCATCTCACACCCATTGGGATGACTGCTAAAAAAAACAACCAAACAAAAATAACTAGTGTTTTTGGGAAGGATGTAGAGAAATTGAAACACTTCTGCACTGTTCATGGGAATGTAAAATGATATAGCCACTGCAGAAACCAGTATGATGGTTCCTCAAAACAAAAAAAGAATTATGTGATCTAGCAATACAAGTTCTGAGTATATATCCAAAAGAATTGAAAACAGGGTCTCAAAGAGATATTTGTGCATTTATGTTCACAGTAGCATTATCCAAAATAGGAAGTAACCCTAATATATTGGGTTGATACAACCCAAACCAATACATAAACAAAATGTGGTGCATACATACAATGGAATATTATTCGGCCTTTTAAAAGAAGGAAATTCTGACACATGTAACAACACAAGTAAACCTTGAGGACATTATAAGTGAAATAACCCAGTCACAAAGATAAATACTGCACGATTCCACTTACATAAGGTGTCCAGAGTAGTCAAACTAATAAAAACTGAAAGTGGAAGGAAGGGTATCAGGGGACTGAGGGAGGATGAATAGGTTACTATTTGATGGATACAAAGTTTGTTTTGTAAGATGAAAAAGTTTTGGAGATTGGTTGCACACAATGTTAACATAGTTAATGTTACTAAACTGTAAACTTAAAAATGGTAAAGAGAGTAAGGTTTGTTGTCTCTATTTTACCACATTTTTTTAAAGTAAGGTAAAACAGGGCTTTAAGTGTAGCTGAAAATAGGGACTTAGACCAAGAAAGAACTGTGATCATCCTAATCCAGGAGAGACAGGAGGTAAGAAAGGTAAATCCAGCATAGCTTCTAGGTTCCCTTTAAAGAGAAGAACCTCAGCCTCCCAAGATGCCTTTTACTTTTGCAGGCTGCATACTTGTATCTGAAGGGCTTATAAGAGGTTCAGCCATACCTATGACCTAAAAGTGTTTAAACGATCAGCTTTGAGTGATCTGCTCTGAATCAAGCTAAAGCAAAGCACTTTTTTCATGTTAGTTTTTGTTAAATCCTCACTCAAGAATATGTTTTTATTGATTTGAGAGAGAGTGTGTGTGTGTGTGTGTGTGTGCAGCGCATGCGCATGCGCGAGAGAGAGAGAGAGAGAGAGAGAGAGAGAGAGAGAGATGAAAGAAAAACATCGATTCCCACCTGAATGCACCCTCACCAGGGATCGAACCCACAACCTAGGTATGTGCTTTGACAAGGAATAGAATTGGCAACCTTTTGGTGTACAAGTTGATGCTCCAACCAACTGAGCCACCTGACAGGGGCAGGAAAGCTCTTCTTTTTACCTTTGGAGGTAGAATGCATTTCAGGAAAAGAAACATTAACTTGAGTAAAGTCTTAGGCAGTACTGTGAAACTCATTCAGTTGGGTCTTAGTCAAAAGAATGCTTTTTTAAGAAAAGAATTAAATAAGTATAAGGGTGTAAGACAGATATGAATATCAACTTACTGACAGAACAGTTGCTGCTAAGGTCTATATTTGATTTCCATAAGAGGACATGACCCACTATTATGATATTCTAAAAATTCTAGCTCAAAATTTAACTTAAACTCAAAGTTTACTTGTTAAAGACTGAAAAAAAATAAAATCTTAGAAGAAAAAATTTGGAAAAGATAGCTCACTTAGTTAGATAATAATATGTATTTATTACTCAAAATCCAAGCTGATATTTAAACAAGCCCTTGTGAGTACAGGCAGAAATTATGTAAACAATTACAGGATAGTGATAGGAGAGTTGATACAAAAACAGATATGAGATTTTGAGTTAAATCAAATTTCAAGATTAAAAAGCCTTACCTCAGAAAATGTTTAAAATCTTAGTTAAAAAATAAAGTGAAAAGAGTGCATGGATTGATTACTTAACCTATTTCTGTACCTTAAGAATTTTGGAAACAAAAATATTTGCTAAGTGAAAAAATACAGCAAAATTGGGGAACGGAACAAGCAGGGTAGTCACCATTGTGATTTATGACTTCATTGATTTAATGCTACGAAACTTGAAAGAGAGCAAAGAATATACAGGAGTTTGATGATTTTGAAAATTTTGCTTTAGGACTAAAAAAGCTTTTCTTATAAAATTGGTACTTATAATTTAACTCATTTTTTTTAGTGCTTCCATAGTAGAAATACTGTCAGTTAGGAAAAGTCAACCAGTCTCTATGCTGAAGAGCAAATAAAATAGACCTATTTAGTTACTATTTGAGAGATTTGGGGATCTCTAACTCTGACCTTGTACAATTTGAGGTTAATATTTTGAAATATATAACCCTTGAATTTTTATGCAGGCCAACATTTTAACGTTTACATTCAAGTAAATCCAAATACCAAGGGAAAAGTTTTTGGCATTATGCATGTTTACTGTAGAAATGGGTGCTGTTAGTATATTAGGAGATAATTTTATTTAGGAAAATTAGATGCATTACTTTAAAGAATATACTGCTCCATGCCCCAGGATGTAATATGTAAGCATGGAGTTTGGAGTATATGAACAGCATGAATTTGGCTGCAGAATTTATTGGAAACTGGGTGGGATACATTAAAAGGCTGCTACAGTATAGTCCATGAGGACCTGGATGACCATCTGGCACTCCAAGTGCCACCAAGACTGCCTGGGTAACTGTGGAAGAAGAGGACCCAGCACCTTTTATCAGGCAAATCCTGTTGTGTTGCTACTATTATTGCATTGTAAGCATGGAATGCACATGTTACCGATGACTTCTAAAAGTAATGCAATTACAATGTGCTTGAAATACAGGTTATTTCAACCACAAACTTCACGTCTATTCATTAAAAATAAGAGAAACACTACTCTGTTGAATTGGCATCAAAATTCAAGAGACAGAATGTTAAAGTAACCATTTTTGTTTAAAGCTTATATGTGTGTACAATAGAATACTCCTGTGTGGCAAATGGAAGAAAATTGGAAGCCTTTGAGTCAAAGAAGCAAACCTGATAGGTTTGGCTAGACACTCATAGTGCTGGTCCACTTGAAAAATTGAGTTAGTTGCCAACATTTAATATAATTAAAATGTAAACTTTTATTAAATCATGACAATCTTGCCCATTTAGGGTTACTTACTTGGCTCCTGTAACATTTGAGTTGGGTTACTTACTTGGCTCCTGTAACATTTTCTTCCTGTTTTACAGGAAGAAAACCCTAATAATCTCTTCTAGAAGAAAATAGTGGAATTTTGGAAGATTATATTTGCCTTGATACCCTTTGGATTATGTCTGTTTTAATACTAGTATTCTTATCAGATATAGAAATCATTATTATTCAATTGCAAAGTAAGGGATTTAATTTCAGGAATATTAAAAAGTATGTAGGTGCACAGGCTCCAATATATCAGGACAGCTGTGACCACTAACCTTGAAGATTTATAGAATGTTTGGAATCAGAGAGATAAGACTTGAATGGGAAAAGATGTCCCACACTGGTGTGAAACGTCATATTTCAAAAGCAAAATCCAATACCATTTTAAAAGTTGGGTTTGTAAAGCATTAATTTGTGTTAAAATTCAGCAGACAACTGAACTCACTTTAGAAGACATATATGATAACATTGGAGAAAAGGAACACATTTTGATTAGTAACAATATTATCTAACACAGATCAGTTAGTAGTAAAATATTTAAAAACTGTAAAGACCCAAGACTTAGTACATATGCCTCCCCTCTCTTAAATATGTAGCAGGGAACATTTGGAGACTCAAAGTGGGAGCAGAAAGGAATCGACAGATTTTGGTATTTGAACCTGCAAGAAGAATTATCCATGGATGCATTTGAAGTATATGCTCCTTGAGACCCATCACTTGTCAAGAAATACCTGTGTAACACGTAACCACTGAAATTATGAATTCTACTGCCAGGCAAACCTCTTTTCATCCAGATGTGCTTTTCTTGCTCTCTTGAGCTGCTTTGAATATAAACAGGTATTGAGATGGGGTACCACATGCACAGACTTTGTCAATGATGTGACACCTGAAAAACCTGATCAAAAAGGAAGAAAAATGATCAAAAAAGGAAGAAAAACTCAGGCTTATGCCAGTAGTTGGGACCGGTGACCAGGACACATGTGCCAGACAAGCAGAAGCATTATCGACATAGAGGCTTCCTTTGTGAATCTGCCCTCCCTTTGGATAAGTTGTGTTAGACTCCAAACAACAGGAGAGCCCCCAGCACTGTGGACATAGTTTCTGAACCAGATTCTAAGTTGCATCATGTTCTTTTGAGCTCTGTACATGCTATTCTCTTTGCCTGAAATACTTGTCCCCCCTCCTTTTTCTATTGACTACTTCTTGTTCATCCTCAAGATTTATCTTAAATATCCTCGAGAATATTTATCTTAAATATTTCTTCTTCTGGGAGTCCACCTTGATCTCCCAGACTAAGCTAGTAACCCTTTGTTTGTGTCCCCAGGACTTCAAAAGCATTGATCACATTGAATTGCAACCCCTTGTTTACTTGTCTGTATCCTCTCATCACTCCAGACCTCTGTGAGGCCAAGTGCCAGGTCTGCCTTGCTCACATCTGTATTTTTAATGTGGTGTACATTACTCAGAAGATGTTGGTTGGATGGTTGAATAAACTGAATCCCAATCTGTCTGCTTCTTAGCTCACTCAGGTACTCTCAGGTAGCCTCTTGGCTATTGTGACTATCTAATGTTTGTGGGCAGGGCATAGAAGATGGCCAAAAATGGCCTTGATGCCTAACAGAGATTCGAGCAGAAATTCTTGGGACAAGTGAACCAGGGGTTTGGTAGGCAGCCTGGAACTTCTCAAGCACCTTTCTGAAAAGACTGAGACAAGAAAGGAGGATATATGTGTGGAGAGAAGGGAGGAAGCTTGGAAATATCTCTTCAAGGCAAAGAAGGTATGATAACATCTTGACAGAAAACTGAGAATGAAGATGAGAGGTCAGATAATCTCAAAGGATGAAAGAAAGATTTCTTGGAAGAACTAACTCACAATGGAACCATGGAGCTACCAGGGCTCCTTGTACTGAACATGAAGTCTGAGAGGCTGTGCAGAATTACTAGGGGTCAATGAATGTTTGTCAGTTGGATTCCATTCTCTCCCTGACCTTGGGCAGCTTCTTTCACCTGACAAAGCCATGGCTGATCTTGGGTAAGGTAGGCAGAGTCTATCTAAGGGAGAGTCAGCAGATATTAGGGAGGGCTACAGGCAAGTGTAAGGCCCAAGGGCGAGAAAGACACCAAGAACTGACACCAGATGCTAGCATTGCTTTTCTAACATGGAAGCTAGCCAGAATGAAGCTGGTTGTCAAAAAACACAGGCTCTCAACCCCTCCTGTCCTTAAGAAGCATTGGTCATTGTGCACCAGAAAACAGTGCAGCTAAAAAACTTTCAAATTCATTCCATGATCTTTAGCATCAACTCAAATTCCTTAATATGGATACAAAGTCTGTTATACAAGTCTCATCTTTGACCATGAATAGCCAGGCAATTGCAATGAAGGAATGAGTGGCCCCAACCTGGAGTGAACAAGGTTCTCTGCAATCAGAAGAATCTGGAAAAGAATAACTCCAGCCTTTTTCTTCAAACAATGAAGGACATGGGAAAACAGAAATGAATTCTCTCCATGGGCAAGGTAACAAGAGCTCCCTTCCTCTATCTCCAGCATCTGCTTAGGCTTTTCCTGCCTCTTTTGGGTCTAGGGACCTTGGGACCTCATCCCTTCTTAGTCTGAGCTACTATGGCTTAGCTGTTTCTGGTACTGAGTAACTCTGGACCCCACTTCTAGACCCCTGACCAAAGGAGGTTCTAGTAATAAACCATGAATAGGACTGACTCCAGGAGTGCACCCACCATCCCCTACATGGGTGATGATACCCTGAAGTTTGTCAGGCAGGGAAGTTACCTCCTCGGCCCTCACTGGCAGCCGGCTTCACTTGGATTGGACGATTCATCTGAAAGACATCGGACCAATACACCCAGTCAGCATGACTGCCTGGCCCTCAGGCCTCTGACTTCTCCATCCTTGGACCGCTCAAGATCTAAGCCCTGGCCCCTTTGAATCTGCACTCCACCCCTCTCATGCTGGGCTTATAGATTTTCACAAAGATTCCTTCCTTAAACACAGGAATTTAGAAGGTGCTGAAGCCTAAAAGATGGGTGATAGAAAGCTCAGTGGCAAGCACAAGACACTCTGGAGGCTACAGAGATTCTCTTGCCTTGGGCAGGGACCACATGAAGCCTGTCCCTCTGGCTCCTGGACTTCCTTAAGGGCTTTGAGTGGGAGAGTAGAATTTATATTGCAGATTCGTAGTTTGTGCTCAAATAGGATATAATTCTATGTGTTATTTAAATTAAACAATCTGGGAATCAGACTCAGGGCTATCTATCCCCAACTCTGCCATTTAATGGTTGTATGACCTCCATTAAGCCACCCTCTCTGATTCAACTTGTAGTATGGGGGAAACCTTCCCCAGCTCTGTGTCTCCATAGTTTCCAACCCACAGTCCCCTCCCTGGCTCCCCTTCTCCTGGGGATGTTGGAGTTCTCCAGGCCATCATCCTCTGCCCCGCTCATTCTGCTACTCTCATTCTTCCTAGACAATCTCATGTACACCCACAGCCTCAGCTACTGTCCCCACAGGGATGACTCAGGGCTCTGCACATCCAGCCCACCTCCCTTTTGAGCTTAAGACCCATGTGTACAGCTTCTTGGTGGATGTCCCCACTAGAAAGTTCCATTAGCACCTTCCATTTGACACACCCAAACCGGAGTTCATCTTTTTGCCCAAACCTGATTCTTCTAGTCATCCAAGCTATAAACCTAAAAAATCGCTTGATTCCTTCCTCTATCCCCTCCTCCACCAACTAATTTACCTTCTAATTCAGGGATTCCCTAATCAGTGGTGGATAAGAACCATCTGGGGACCATACGACACTCTCAAACTGGAGGTCTTGTGTAATTTGTAAAAGCTCCTAGGTGATGTAAACATACAGGGTGGAGCAAAAGTGGGTTTACAGTTGAGAGTATGTAAAGCACAGAGTTTATTCTTATATTCTTATTTATTAATTATTTCATTACTTATTTGTGTTACAACTGTAAACCTACTTTTGCCCCACTCTGCACACCCCACACATCTCCATCCCCCAACCACCTGAGAGAATTCATGATTGAATCCCCATCTCACCTTCCTCTCATGGGTATTGTGGGGATCACATGAGATAGTGGGGATGCAAAAGGTCTTTGTAAACTGCTAAGGGCTGGGTGCGTAGGATGTGAGGAGTTATTGTTCGGGGCAGAGCTGAGTGCCAGGAGGAAAGAACAGAGGCCTTTCTGGTCATGGATAAGGGGTGCTGATGCCCATCTGGCCTGAGAAGGTGATGATCTGACCTCCTCCCCTTAGGAAATGCACTGTTTCTGCATCAATCAGGGTTCACTCCATCCTCTACCAATGTGGTCGTTGCCGAGACAACAGGCAGCTTCTTGTTACCATAGGCACAAGTGCTACCCAGTAACCATGGCAACGCCCTGGCAGTCACAGTTGAGCAATTTCCTTTGGATCAAATTCGGTGCTGAGGAGTGGGAAGGGCTTATTTAAAAAAAAAAAAAGGAAAGGAAAGAAAAACAGGCCAAACCTGAACCAGTGCAATTTCCTTCCCACCCAAGGCTCAGGTTCTTATCTGCTCTGACACACCCACCCACTCGTGGTAGAGTACCCACAGAGTACCAGGCTGTGGGTGGGGGCTGAGACACTGGCAGGACTCAGGCCGAGAGGGGGTGAGAGATCAATCCAAACAGATCAGGGTAAGCTGGACTGGTCTGGATTGGCCTGGACCAGGGACCAGGGACCAGGAGGACAGGACCCCTCCCTAGGCCTGGCTACCTATAATTGTGGAGGAGAGACCAAGAGACAGAGCCATGGAGAGTGGAGAAAAAGGGCAAGATGAAGAGACATGGGAAGACAGAAATGATGAGAAAGAAGAGTAAGAGACAGACCTAGGAAGGGGCAAGGAGAGAGAAATCCTGGTGGAGGTGGGATGAAAACAAGGAGATAATGAGGTCATGGAGGAAAGACAGGGAAGAGAATAGTGGGAGAAAAGGAAAGAGGAGTAGCTTGGGATTGGGGGCAACGAGGGTGAGGGAGACAATCATTATTTTATTAGTTCATAAATAGATCCTGAGAATTTCGCTCTGGAGCCTAGGGTGAAGGGCACATGTGACAGCAATGATTTCCACCACAGCTGCCTCCCTGGCTGGGTTTCTATGAAGACACTGTTTGCCCCCTCCCCCACCCTACCACTCTGTTGGAGAGTGGACATTAGTTAATATGTACATGTCCTACATGAACCTGGCAGAGTCCAGGAGTCAGAGGCTGGGCACCTAGCCTTTCCAGCACTTGGGCATGCTGCTAGCATTTCCTGAACTCTGTGAAGATCCCTCAGCTGAGCCCTTCAGGAGAGACATGGATGATGATGAGAACCCTGTCCTCAAAGTCACAGAAGGGAAGATAATGCCACCATTTGCTGAGAGCCTAGTATGTGCCAGGCCTTTCCTGGGGCACTTTACATACATTGTCTTGAAATTCTTTCCAACTACTCTGCCAGGTAATACCCTTGTCCCCATATTATTTAAAAAAAGAAAGCTGAGGCTGAGGGAAAATAATCACTTGTCAAGGTCACATAGTGGTTAAGTGAATGAATTGGATTTTGCCCCCAGGTCTGTCTAACACTGAAGCTCATGATTTTTTTTTGTGTTGCTTGACTCTGTTCTTAAGTCATGAACACAAGTAATGGGGCACAGAGGGACCAAAGCCTTAGGATGAGTGCAAGGTAATGTGCTCTGGGAAAAGCTGACTCCAGGGGGAAAGATTGACTCAGGGAAAGCTTCATGGAGGAGGCAGACTTGCTGTGGGGGGTCATTTGCGGGACTGGAGTTATTGAACCTTGTGGAGATAATAGAAAAAGAGGTATGGTTGGGAGCTGAGCACACCAGATGCCTTGTCTGAATGAGGAGCAAGGGTTGTGGCAGGCACCTGGCATGGGGGTAGCCAGGGTAGAACAAATTAGTTTTGAGTCAGATAGATGTGGATTTAAATCCTGGCTCCATCACTGGCAACTCTAAGGTTTCTGAGCCTCTGTATTCACTTTAGTAAAAAGGAGAATCAGATCTTGGTATGTGTACCAGATATAATATGGGGTCTTTTTTTTTTTAATGGAAGGATATGAAACAAAGGCAGAGGCAGGTTGTGAAAACCATGACAAAGATTTTGACTTTGTTGTATTTCAAAGGCAATAAGGATCCAGGGAAGAATTTTAAGTAGGAGAATAGTCTTATGAAAGAGCCCAACAACTGTCACCATGCAGAGAAAAGATCGGAAAGGGGAAGATAAGAGGCAGTGACACAGGTAAGGGGTAAAGGTGGCCTGGAGCAGGGCAGAAGGAAATGGACAGATTCAAGATGTGTTTAGGAAGAGTGAACTGGTCTAAAGTTCTAGTGGTTGTGGGGACTGAGGGAGAGGAGGGAATGTTGGCTGATTTACAGATTTATGGCTTAGGTGTTGCGGAATTTGGCAGTTTGGGAGTCTAGAGACCTAGGATAAGTCCACAGGGGAGGAGCCCAAGAGGATGAGGACAGAATTGAGCTCTGGGCCTTCAGTTTCCACTGGAGAGTGGTTAGGGAGGACACCTGGGACTTAGGTATATTCTGTGTATATGAGAAAAAGAGCTGCTTACGTGAGCTACTTGGGCACCCCTACCCTGTGTTGTTCCTGCCACAGCCAGGGGACGGACGTGGGAGTGAGGTGAGGTAATCATCATTCTCCTTTGGAGAAAAGAAGGCATTGTCTCCTTGGCCAAGAACTTGTCATGGGGTCTCAGGTGAGCTCTTGCCTTAGTTGAGCACCTATTTCCTTGAAAGTTTCCTAGGTGGAGTCCAGGCTCATGTCTCCTTTAGAGCCCAGCCCTGGAGGGGAAATCACGACAGGTCAGAGAAGGGAACAACCTACTCTGGGTAGTAAAGTGGAGAGGTTGGAGGCAGCACAGATACACACAAATCCCTGGTCCTTCTGCCTCCATCAACAGAGGAAGGCAAGACCCTGCCCCTTCTCTCTTTGACCTGGATAAAATTCTTGCATTTAAGCTCAGCACTGCCCCCTTCAGACTCTTACATCCTGATGCCAACCCTTCCTTCCACTCAGCACTCATGCCTTCAGCCCCTTCTCCCACCATGGGAAGAGTGTTTATCAGAACCTTTCCAAAGAAGGGACCACTGATGAGTCTAAGAGAGGTGTCATGGGTGCAGAGAAGAGTGAAGCAGATAAAAAGCAAACTTTATTTTCAGCACTTTGTTCTACCTCACCCCTTCTCTAATTCAATCTACTACCAAGTCCCACTGGTTCTAGAATCTATATAGATATCCTCAGGGCCATCATCTTTTCCCCATTCCTGCCCTATTTCCACCTATAGGTCAGCATCATCATTCATCTGCACTCAAGGAACAGTGTTTAAAAGGTCATCCTGCCTCCAGTGTTGCTTCCTCTCCAACCCAACCTTCACACTGTAGCCTGAGTGATCATATCTGCCAATGGTTCCCACTGCAAGCCTCCTAATAAAGCCCAAGATCCCAATACCAAGACTGGAGTTCTGCCTTCCCCATTGCCCAGCATAAACAATACTCTCCATTCACACAGAGCCTTAGCCATCTTTGCCAGACATCTTCCCTGCCAGTTCTCACACTGTCCCCAGAATTCCAGAAGTGCCCTTTGTCTTTTAGGTTTCTAGACCCTCAAACATGATGACATATGATCATGATTGAGCTCTGATATTATGTTCTTCATGAAGCTTCTCTTCCCTCTTCACTCCTGATGCTGCTTTTACACACTCAGATGAAAACCCCACTGAGATGCAATGAATTATTTCTGGGCTGGAAGCTCCTTGAGGGTGAAGGCTCTAACTTG